TCGCTTTCACTCACGTTCGAGTTCACATTTTCGTCATTCTCTGAGAGCTAAAGCTAAGTTTACTTGGGACTGTCAACCTATCTGGTTATCAAGACTTTCTAGCTAATTAACTAGTTTAATCTACTCTTATACAGGCGGAACATGTACTCAGAGATCCGACGCCAGTCTCTTATGTAAATTCTGGTAAAATATAAGTCCTGCTCCCAACGGAATATCCTGAACAGAGTTGCTGATTTGGATGCTTTTATGTAATGTTTGGGTAGTCAGTTTACCATTGCGTTAGTTAAACAATGAAGTCAATATTACGATGTTTATAAATAAAAGCAATTACTGCGTTTGCAGTGACTTTGGCAGAGTAACTACCCATTCAATGTACTTTTAGATTTTCGGTAAAGCTATGTCAAAGAAATTTTACAAATAATATTTATTCGTGTGTTTAATTTTCAACTTTCACAAATAAATATAATTACTTCTGGTTATTTAGATGGCTGCTATACTAGTAACGTACGAATCATAATAATTTAAGATGAACAGATATTTAAATTTATTTGTACTTCTACAAGTACAATTATCTTCAAAGCCATTTTGAAGCTGTAGAAGTAACGTCGCAGTTCTTAAAGGGACACTGCCCGCTACTGCAAGGCAGGAAGTCATTCCTTTAAAGTTAATTCAAGCGCAGACGACAGTAAACATGTTAATATCAGTAAGGAAACTTGGAGTAGGTACATTCCTTGTTCTTGTATCAGATTACGTTGTTTTGTTGGTCACGCGAAATTACCGTTGCAAATTTTCACAATGTTCTAATCACTGTTGCGGCGCACCAACCATTATGCAAGCGAAACACACGGGCCCGTAAATTTCATCATTTTAATTAAAACCGTCGAGACTTCGAAATTTTTGGGAAAGAGCTTCACGCAACGTAGACAGAACACGTTTAATGAGGAATGCACACTCTACGACTTCGCGGCTTACAATTAAAGTATGCTGGGTTATCGAGCGAAGTTGAGGTTTGTTGGAGCTACTGAGAGGAATTTCCCAGAAACGAAGGTATTCGTAAGCGGTTTTTGGCTATTAATTAGCCAATTTTGTAACATTGGCCCTCATAATGATCCAGCAACGAACAATTTTACGAATTTTACTTACACATGTGTTGAGGCCAACCTCGAAAACGAAGGAATAGATAGAAAACGAGTTGCGTTCAAAATTATACAATACCTAATTTACTCCCAAGTACAATATTTATCTACTTGTTAATAATTCTGTATCATAATAAATGCTTGTTGCAAATACGTCAGATTACATAAATTTCAATATATATTTGAGAAAAAAGTAATTGAAGACATAAATAGCTAAAAGATTTTTCAACAATTACATATGAAACCTTCGATTCGTTCCCACGTAGGAATCGAAATAATTTCCTTGTTACGCCGACGGAGCAGTCAAGGCAGAGGAATAATGATCGCACGCAGCGATTGTCGAGACATTCAGTTGCAGTTTATTTAATAGCGCCAGCATCCCCGGTCAATTATTGCAGCATAATAGCGATACTAATCGATCCGCGCCGGATACTAACAGCTCTGCCAGCCGTGGGTCGTCCTTAACGGGAGCAAACGTGCTATTAATGCGTGTTAATCAGCGCCGAGCGAATGATTAAAAACCTCGAGTAATTAGTAACCGTAAAGTAAATCACTCTTCACCATTCAATATTTCACTTTTTTTCCCCCCTTTTCAACGTCCGACCGTATTTACCGACCGTAAACTCTCGAATCTGCAAACGGAATATTAACGTCCACTTGGACGAAATTACGAATGATTACAATCAAAAGCGAACGGTAAGCATTTGCTTTCTCGGGGGCGTGATATTTGTGGCGGCGGCGTTAATAAAAACATTTTCAACGGGAAACGCGTTTTCGAACGTAATACGGAAAGAGCGAGGAAAATAAGCGAGCCCAGCGAGTAAATCGCGCGGCACGCCAACTTTATTCCGATCCACCGTTTCGCCGGCCAGCAAATTGTTGTTCCTTTATAATTACCGCCGTCAGCCATACGGTCATTAAGTTTATTAGCCTTTACCATTGTCTGACCACTTATGCAGAGGACCACTAATGCACGCCGCGATAATAAGCGCTGGTTCACGACAAACTACGACGAGAAGCTGTTGCTAATAACGATATTTTGGCAACGAGATTTGGGGACAAGGATTTCGGGTTAATTAACATTCAACGTTTTCTTAATTCGACGATTAAACGAGCAACCGTAATGTTGGAAGTTACTAATGGACTTTTATGAAACACTTGTCAGGTGAATTATGAGAAATTTTTGTTCTATCGTTTGGTTATTTTCTGAATAATTGTGCTGAAAAATGAATGTAACGCGTGCAAGGGAAATAAACGGTTAAAAAGGTCCAGGAATGAAAGAAAATAGTGTGTTAAAACCAGAAATTGAAGAAAGAATGTGAGCGTTTAAATACAAATGATGGGGGAGATATATAGAACAGTTTTCATGAAATTCAAATAAAAAGAGCAACGTGAAGTAGAACGGAAAATGTCAGATTTTTCATAAGTGCGCCATTGTTTTCGTAAAATCTTCTGATCGTTAAGATTCATAAATATTGGACTGCAACGTTTAGGAGTGCTACATTCTATCTAAATTATTAGAGACAGATTTCCTGTGGTGTGTAAGGAAGCTTAAACTGTTTAAAGAACAACAGCTAAACGCTACACATTTGTTTTACGAATCATATTAAGGCGAACGCGTCTCATACGCGGAATAATACAGCGTTATACACTGTACAAGAGTATTCGAGATCTTCAAGGTGACAACCTCTACTTCCCGATCCTTGAGTGCTTAAGATATGGTAGACGCTTTAAGTCGCAACAGGGTACCCACTTGTTACGATTTCAAGGTAGACCTCAAAAATGGTTGAATAATTTACCAAACACTCATTGAAACATTTACCCGATCGAATAAAATTTTACCCCAATACTAAGATACAAAGTACATATACGGATTTTCTTCAAATTTTTAATCAAATTTAACCAGATTATTACCATCTGATGTACATGAGATTAAAATCGTGATACAATATATCTAAAAAAAAGCACACGAGCCCCGCTAAAATCACAAAAGTATTGTATCTGCATGTTAAAGTCGGAGGACTGAAATTCAAGCTGATATGTCATTCTATAGTCGGCACGACTGATCCGTGGACTGAAGTAAAACGATCAATTTGTTCCTATAAATAGCCGATAACGATTTCGAATATTATTTACTAACAGAATTTTTCAGTTTGTCCTCGGAAACAAAGAAACACACGGAAAATAATTCGTTTGGCCATTTGAACGCGCTGAAACAATCATCTCGTGAGCGCGCGTGTATTTGCCGATTTATTGGATCGTCGATCGCTGAAAACACGGAGTTGCGCTGTGACCGTTTAACAGAAAGGTGGATCCAATGCCAATATTTATTCGTATGCTAGAAAAGTAAACCTATTCCGGCCGTGCCGCGTCTGATACCGTAGGCGTGAAACGGGAGCA